GGGGACCGGCCTAACAGTGCCAACAGGGTGGTTTCCCCCAAACCATCTGGAACACACTCGCGAGGTTGTACTTGAAAGGTCCAGGCAGGAGGGGAGCGGCGGGAGGAGCACAAAGCGCCACCGGAGCCAGGTACACAGCAACAGCCCCGGCGCGCCTAGAGAGTCGCCCGCCCCGGCTCCGAAGTCCCCGCGGCCGCCCCGGCTCCCCGCTCCCCAGCGCGCCCTGCAGCCACGTGTGAACCCGGGCCCGGCCCCGCGCGCCCCGCTCTCCATCCACTCACCAGGTGAAGAGTTTGCCTTTCACCCGGCGCAGCAGGCTGCCTAGTGCGCCCCCCCATTCCTGCGCGGGAGGACGCGGGGCTCCGGAGCCCGCCGGCGAGGGTGCTTCCATGGGGGCCCCAGCGGTCTCCGGCGCCCGGAAACCCCCCGAAGTGCCGGGGCCCGGAAGACGCGAAGCGGCGCCTGTGCTGCAGCCGGGGGCTCGGCTGGGCTCGGCCGGCGCTCGCTGGCGTCCCTTGCTCTGGGAGCCGAGCTCCCTCTGCTGCAAATCATTAACTGTCAGGCTCCGGGGGCCAGATGATACATTTGCAGATTACAACCTGGCACCTCCGGGTCGTAGGAGGAGAAAGGGCACTCCCCACCCCCTGCTTTGGCGGTCGAGCCTCAGCGTTAGGTGACACCGATATGCATTTCAGGTTTTTATCCTCCTGATTGGAAATTAGCAAATGAAGTGATACGAGGTTATCTTGACTGATTGCCAGCCTGCCCTACCCTAAGAAGCGGGGATTAGCGAGGGCCTGAACTTCAGTAGCCAAAACTGGAAAGGACAAGCCGACCCCTCCTGGATCTCCCAGCCTCCCTCCTTCTAAGTAAATTGTAATTTTCTTAAAAAAAAGATTTATTTATTTATGAATACAAGAGCTGGGGTACAGGCCAGAGATGCGGGGAGGGTGGGTGAGAGTACTCACCACAGACAGTGGGGAACAGAACAGGCAGACTGACTGAAACACACTCCTGAGGGGAGCAGCAGGTGGGACAGGAGAGGTCTGCTGCACCATGTGGGACACCTCCCTGGCCGGCTGGGAATTGAGCTTGTGCTGCAGAGGCTGCCGATTGCTTCACAGTGAGGTGCTTAACCCCTTGTGCCACCAGGGAGGCCCCTAAGTAAATTTTAAAAGATATCTTTTCATCTAAAGGAACTGAGGACACTTTAGTTCTTTGTTTATTTTCCTAGCAAAGCATGGGGGCAATCCTAAAAGGACCCTGGGAGCACATCTCATGGTGTCTCCTCCCTGATGGTCTGTTGGTTCCCCTTTCAGTATGCTGTCATCTGTGAGGTGGCAGCAAAGGGGACCATGGCAACTCGGTCAGGATGCCATGGGCCTGGGTCATACCTTCTATGCTTCTGCGGAACAAAGAGGCACTTACTGGAGTCGAAATTTCCTGCCTCCAGAAGAAGCTATCTGGGAGACAAAAGGAAAAGTGTTGGCACAATTTTTTTCTTGACTTCTGCCTTCCCTGGACAGGGGCTTGGCAGGTAGGGGCAGGTGACAGTGGAATAAGGAACAGACATTCAAAGGAGTTAGCAGTTCTCTGAGAAGATTCTAAGAAAGCAAAACAATATTGAAAATGAAATGTATAAGCCCCAACTTTAGCAGCTACAGATACCCCAAAGGTTTAATGAAATGATATTTATTTCTGAGGTCAGATGGGGGAAAAGTTGAAAAATAAGAACATGGTCACCCATAGAGAGATGACTGAATACTTATGGTGCAACCACATCATCAAACATTATGAAGGCATTAAAAAGAAAGGGGCTATAGCAGGATGGGGAAGGGCTTTCTCTAGCTATTGTTGAGTGACAAAAGTAAAATGCAGAGAAGTAGATTCGATACAATCTCATTTTTGTGAGGCATACAGCTCGTAAAACATAGTTTATTCACCATGTTGAATTTCACCTGAACCCTGTCTGTTGCTATACTGGCCCCTGGCCCCTTGCAATAATCCTTTCAAATAAAGTCTCTGACTACCTAAATCAGATAGTTTTTTGATCTAACAATAGGTATATAGTTAAGTGGGCCAGGAGAAAAGAATAGGACCTATGTCACCTCCAGTCTTCCTGGACATTTAATGATTGTTGGCAAGATATGTCCCGCTGATCTGGACCTGGAGAAGGGTTATGGAATGGTGGTGAATGAAGGTCAGGTGAGGGACAGTCATGTTCATCTCCATGTTCTTGGAGGCAAGCAGATGAATTGGCCCCCTGGTAAGCATGCTTTAGAGATAGTTTTCTTCTCTTGACAGTGATTAAGTTGCAAGTTCCAATTGTGTTAAACAGTACACTTATTTATGCCTATGTATGGATTAAGGAAATAAAATTAAAAACCCATACATAAGAAAATACATTGTAACACATTTAGCAGTAAGAAAAAAATTTTTAAATCTGCAGAAAGAAGAAAAAGAAAACTGCACTTTTAAATAACACTCCAGGGGCCTCTCAGTGCTATCAAGCTATCGCCAGCCACTGCAGCACAAGTTCAATGCCCCAGCCAGGGAGCTGACCTACATGGAGCAGCAGACCTCTCCTGTCTCACTCGCTGCTCCCCTCAACAGTGTATTTCAGTCAATCTGCCTGTTCTGTTCCCCGCTCTCTCTGGTGAATCCTCTCACCCCACCCCACATCTCTGGCTTGTATCCCCATTCTTGTATGCATAAATAAATAAATCTTTAAAAAGACAATAAAATAAAAATTTTTAAATAGAGCTATTGTCTGATCCAGCAATTTCCCTTCTGGTTATTTACCTGAAGAAGATGAAAAATACTAATTTGAAAGATGTCTGTGCCCCCACATTAATTGCAATATTTTTATAACAGTCAAGATATGGAAAAACCTAAGTGTCCATCAATGAATATGCAGACACAGGAAATGTGGTATAGTAGTCCCCCCTTATCTATGGGGGATAAACTCCAAGACCTCCAGTGGATGCTTGAAACTGTTAGGGGGAAAAGGATGTCCTAAAGCTAATTCCATGCAGGCTTTATGGACTCCACCCCACCCCGGGCCAAAGCCAATGACACTGGGAACTCCAAATCCCATCACCACCAAAGGGAAGGTGGCTGGGACCTGAGGGTGGGGTTAAGCAGCCAGGTGGATATAAAAGGCAGACACGTGGGCTTTGGGGGTCCCCCATTTTGGCTCTCCACCAGCTAGCAGCGTCTGGCCAGCTCTGAGAGTGATTTTGGGTTTCCAGGTCGTTGGATCTGGTAGGACACATTAAAGACTTTATTTCCTTATTTTCTCCCTGAGTTGTACATTTTCCTTATTTCCTCTTCCCTTGTAAATAAACCTTTTATTAACCTTTTGTGTGTGCCTGTAGTGGAGTATTCTTAAGTCCCTTTTAAGCGTGCAGGTGAGGACCCACAGCCAGGAACCCGTTCAATATCGGGGCTGCTCTATAACAAAACCACAGATAGTTCTGAATCCTGTATATATTGTTTTTCCCTGTTCATGCATACTGTGATAATGTTTAATTTATAAATTAGGCACAGTAAGATATGAACAATAAGTAATAACAAAATAATATAATCATAATAATATATTGTGATAAAAACTTATATGAGTGTTCTAATATTTTATGACAGCAGTTGATCCATGACCCATGGATAACAAGTTGAAAGGTTAACCACAGATAAGAGGGTCATACCAGATGTACAGGTGCTTATACACCTGCACACATGCAAACAATGGAATATTATTCATCTATGGAAAGAATAGATGTGCATCAGCACAAATGGATCTTGAGGGTATTATGCTAAGTGAAAAAAGCAGAGAAAGAGAAATACCACTATGCGTGGAATCTAAAAACAAACACCCGCATAGATACAGAGAACAGATTGGTGGTTGTGGAAACAAGGGGAGAGGAGATAGAAATGGGTGAAGAGGAACAAAAGATACACACAGTTATAAAATAAATAATTCATGGGTGGAATATAATGTATAGCCTGATGACTCTATGTAATACTGTATTGAATATTTGAAAGTTGCTAAAAGAATAGATCTTAAAAGTTCTTATCACAGGAAAAAAAATCATACTATAAATGGTGAAGGATGTTAACTAGATTTATTGTGGGGATCATTTCTCAGTATGTGCACATATTTAACCATTGTGTTGTACACTTGAAAAAGTAATATAATGCTATATATCCGTTATACCTTAATTTAAAAAAAAAACAAGCATAGTAGCACTCTAGTGTTGCTCTAAATTGAGCTCATCTCCTTATCTAGGATTATTGATCTGTCTACATTATTTTGCTATCAGGATTAAAATACATTGAGCGAAACTGTAGACACCAATCAACAAGTTTTGTCAAAGGAATCTCACTGGGAAAAAAAAAACTTATTAGATGTTAGGGATTTTGTATATAATAACCTTACTACTTTCAAGTTCCAACAAACACCTACCATTTATTGAGCACCTATTTTTTTTAAAGATTTATTTATACAAGCACTGGGTACAGTCAGAAGCGCGGGAGGGCAAGAGAATCCACCTGAGCCAGAACGGGGAGCAGAGCAGGCAGAAGGACCGAAGCACACTGCTGAGGGGAGCAGCGGGCAGCAGGAGAGGTCTGCGCGCCATGTGGGACCCTCCTCCGGTGGTGGGGAGCAGACGGGGATCGAACCGGCACTGTAGAGGCTGCGGGCAGCTTCGCAACCCAGCGCTCAACAGCTGCGCCACCGGGGAGGCCCTATTGAGCACTTGTTGTATGCCAGAAGTTATATACATGTTCTATACTGTTCCAGTTATCTAGTGTATTTATCAAATAGCCCCAGATCTTGGTGACTTCAAACAAAAGTCATTTAAATATCTCTTGCACTTTCTCTGAGTCAAAAATTTAGGAAAGTGTGAACCAGGTAGTCCTTGCTCTTGGTCTTCCCTGCAGTTTGGGGGTGGGGGGTGGAGGGTGGGCATGGTTTAGGGCTGCAGTATGTAATGACTGACCAGCATTTCTCTCCTCTTAGATCTGTGTGGTTGCTTATTGCCATCTCCCTCACAGCTGGTGTCTTCAGGATAGTGGGTCTTCTTATAATGCAGGTGGTTTTCCCCAAAGCAAGTATCCTAGAGGGAAAAAAAACCAAACTCAGAACATATTTTCTGTGTTCTCAAGCCAAATGCCACCAGGGAAATGGTATAGTTAACCAAGTTAGATTGAATACTACTCACTGAGAGGCAGAACAAATCCCATGGCAGTCTCATTAAGAGGATATTTAGGAAAAAGTTATCAAACTATCACATCATTTGGACTCCCATGGAATGAATTCAGGGAGGGTCTCAGGATTCACTCTGGATTGATGCTGTAAATTGGGCCTTTACAAGCATAGACTAGAATCAGGATAAAATTGCAATTGGTTAAAAAAAAGAAAAAAGAAAAAAAGGAACAGTCACTCATTTGGACCAGAGAGGAGAATTAGTATTTTCTTGTTTCTATGCTTAGAGAATATCATCAACTGGCCTTGCTTTGTCTCATTTATCATGGTTCCAAGATTACAAGAGTAATCTTCTCTGAGTATGCAATCCTGAGTGTCAAGCCACCTTCCATATGTTTAAAGACTTCTACTACACCCCTCCCATCCCCCTCACCCTGCCCCTTCTCCATATCTGCTTTTGTGACCCAGCCTCAGAAGTCACATGGCATCTTAACTATAATTACAAGCCCATCCAGACACAAGGGAACATAAACTCTATGACAGACCAAAAGATTGTGTCCCTCCAAAATTCATACGTGGAAGTCAAATCACCATTGTGATAGCACTTAAAGGTAGGAAATTTGGAGGTAGTTAATTAGGTGGTGACAGTAGAGCCCTCACTAGTAGGGCACAGAGAGCTCATTCTCTTTTCCCACCATGTGAAGACATAAGTCAGCCGTCCACAACCCAGAAAAGGTTGTGACTCTCCCCAGAACTAGGCCATGCTGGTACCCTGATCTGGGTCTTCTAGACTCTAGGACTCTGAGAAATGTCTATTATTTAAGGCACGGTCTGTGGGAATTCATTACAGTAGTCCACACAGATGAAGACAAATCCTACGCTTGATATGTCAAAGTCACATTAAAGAGAAAAGGTGGCCGGGAAGAGACTGTTGCTACCACCTTTGAAAATAAGGTCTCCCACAAATACTCTAAGGTCATTAGCCCTTGTAAGCTTATTAGCTGTTGCTTTTTCTGGTGAGTAAACTAAAGCTCAGAATGATTAACTTGTCTAAGATCTTTAGATAGTAATAACCACCTCTGACAACAGGGTCACGAGGCTATCTCTCTGATTAAATGATAACATACATAGGCCTCTTTCCCAATAAGAGTTCTCCCCTTTTGTAAAATTGTAAATAAACATACTTTTAAAATCTCACCAAATATGCTATATTGTATAATAAAAGCTATTATGGTTACATCCATATTAAGATGGTCATTAATAAAAAAATAAGATTATAATTCTAAGTGTTTATGATTTTATATTATATTCTTTTATGAAGCATAGTTGAAAATCATATTAGCAATAAGCTGTAACATTTTTATTGAAAATCAAAAAGAGGCAACATTTTGAAGTAAGTTTACAGACATAGGTATTTAAGATCTCTTTCACGTTGAACCATTTTTATGAAAAGCAAATGGGAAATTTCCAAATGTAATCTGTATTTAGGTTCATCTTAAAGCCCTATTTTAAAGGTCTTACTTTAATACAATGAAATATTATTCAGCCATAGAAAAACAATTAAATTGCCACTTGGGACAACATGGGTGAACCTGGAGGGCATTATATTGAGTGAGATAAGTCAGACAAAAACAAATATTGTAGGATCTCACTTAGATGTTGTCCCTGGTATTATTACTAAATTTGGAAACTAAGTCCCCACTCCTTGCCCAGCAGGCAAGTTTGGGAGGCTTGAATGGGTAAAGGGAGTGGATGGGACTGCCTTGGGAACAGGGCCATTAAGTTGATGATCCCATTAGCTGATATGTTTTGGTTTTTTGTTTTTTTTTTGGTTAGATTTATTTATTTATGCATACAAAAACTAGGGCACAGGCCAGAGGTGTGGGGGAGGAGGGAGGTGAGAGGATTCACCAGAGACAGAGTGGGGAGCAGAACAGGCAGATTGACTGAAATACACTGCTGAGGGGAGCAGGGAGTGAGACCCAAGAGGTCTGCTGTGCCATATGGGTGGGTTAGCTCCCTGGCTGGGGATCAAACCTGTGCTGTAGTGATTGCAGATAACTTCATAGTGCTGAGACTCAACCCCTTGCGCCACCAGGGAGGCCCTGATATGTTTTAATATAACATAATATATAATATTTTAATATATATAATATCCTTTATAATATATATATATCCTTTATAATTCAGATAATCAAAACTAGTCACCCTAACCAATCAATGATGCCTGGAGAATAAATAGAGCTTCCAGTACCTTCATTCTCTGTGCTGCTGACCTCTCCTGTCTCTCTTGCTGCTTCTCTTACCAGTATATTTCAATTAATCCGCCTTTTCTGTTCTCTACTCTGTCTCTGGTGAAATCTTTCATCCTTGCACCTCTGGCCTACACCTGATTCTTCCCCAGAACAGTTGTGGAATCTAAAAAGGTAGAACTCAGAAACAGAGCAATGATGACGGACAGGGCTGGTGAGCAGAAAATATTGATCAAAGAGCACAAATAGAAGATGAACAAGTCCTGGGAAATATTGTACAGCACGGCAACCATGCTTAATACAGTAGTATGTACTTTCAATTTGCTAAGAGAGTAGATCTTAAAAGTTCTCACCACAGGCACACAAAGGTAACTATGTGAGGTGAGGGATGTGTTAGCTAACCTTAATGGATCACCCTTTTGCTATACGTATGTATAGCAAACTATCACACTAGTACACTTTAAACTTACTCAATGTCATTTGTCAGTTGTATCTCAATAAGGTTGGGGAAGAAATCCTTATTTTAAAAGCTCTCTTTGTAGCATCCTATTAAAATATCTATTGGCTCTCTACTCGAGCCTCGCAAAGACAAAATAGCTTTGTTGTTCCAGCTAAGATTCCTTACGTTTCCTTTCAGAAGTATTCTGCGAGTCTTTTTTTTTTTTAAAAGATTTATTTATTTATGCATACAAGAACTGGGGTACAGGCCAGAGGTGTGGGTGGTGAGAGGATTCACCAGAGATAGAGTGGGGAGAAGAACAGGCAGATTGAAACACACTGTTGAGGGGAGCAGGGGGCGAGTCAGGAGAGGTCTGCTGCACCATGTGGGTCACCTCCCTGTCTAGGGATTGAACTCGTGCTTCAGTGGCTGCGGACAGCTTCATAGGTTGCATCTTAATGTTAGGGGGAAAGGATGTTCTGAGCTAATCCCATACAGGCTTTGTGGACTCCACCCCCACTCCAGACCAAAGTCATCAAGACATTGGAAAAGACAAATCCTGTCACCACCAAAGGGAAGGTGGCTGGGACCTGAGGGTGGAGTTAAGCAGCCAGGTTTAGTATAAAAACCAAACACACGGGCTTTGGGGTCTCTCGCTTGCTATCGCTCGCCTCCTGGCTTCATGGCTCCTGGCTCGTGGCCAGCTCTCAGAGTGCCATTTGGGATTCCTGATTGGCGGATCGGTTAGGACACATTTAAAACTTTGTTTCCCATTTTTCTCCCTGAGCTATACATTTCTTCATTTGCCCTTCCTTGTAAATAAACCTTTTATTAACCTTTCGCGTGTGCCTGAGGTAAAGTATTGATAAGTCCTTTTAAGCGCACGGGTAAGGACCCACAGTCAGGCACCCCGTTTTGTATCAGGGCTTCCCTATAACATTAACACTTTGCGCCACCAGGGAGGCCCAGTAATCTGTCAACTTGTCTTCAATTTGAATTGCCAAAAGTAGACAAGGTAGCATAAACAAAAATGTCAGGATTATTTATCCTTAAGCAGAGTGATCAATAATACTGTGTGCTGAGATGGCAATTTTGTTTGAGAAATTCACATTATTACCAGTATTTTATTGTAGGACATATTGCAAATCAATTAACCAGTCATTGGTGTAGGCAGATTATGTGTAGACCATTGTTCTGAATAGGGTCAGCAGTTTCAAGACTTAAAAGATACTTTTACCCTTTCTTCCATCTTTCCTTCCTTCCCTGTGCAAATATCTCTGGAATACCTACTATGTTGAGGGCCTCATCCTAGGTGACAGAAAGAATGTAATAATAAAACTTGGTTCTTGACCTCAAATTGCATACAGCTTAGTAAAGAAGAAGAGACTTGTACACAACCCTAAATGATCATATTATCTATGGGAGGAGAGAAGATTCTAAGAATTGAGCATTTTTTGGATTATTCCTTAGTTCCAGCCAACTTCCACTACATACTCTTTTCTGCCCACAGTCCCAAAAGATTTCCTTTCACTTCTTTTCTAGAAACCATTGCCTGAGTCCTTTTTACTAAGTTCAGCCAACTCCTGCTAGAAATAGGCAATGGATGATGAAAAGGAAGCAAGTATGGAGTTGAAACAACAACAAAAAAAAAGTTTAAAAAAAGAAACAAAAAAAATCATCCAAAGAACTTTAATGTAAAAGTGAAGGAAATTGGCTCAAGCATATAGATTTTTATACCCAAGACAAGGACTTGAATGTACACATTTATTTGGGAGGTGAGCCCACAATGTAAAGAGTTGGCTGAGTGAGACAGGACAGGAGGAAAGACAATAAAGCACCCATTATTAGCTGGTTACCACTGTGGGCAACTGGAGCTGACCCCACTGGGAATCCTCTGAGGAACAGATTGAATGCAACTCAGAGCTGTACCACTGAAGGATGGAAGTGGTATTTATTCAACAACTCCAAGTCCCCATGGCATTAACTTCTGAGGGCTGAGAAAGCCCTGAGCAGGAAAACAGAGAAATGCTTGAAGGGAGACACTGTATACAAAGTAACTGTTCACCAATTCTACCAAGGGCACCAATCATAATAAAGGCAGCTGAAATCAGAGACTGTACCTGAGGGACCTACTATAATACATTACACAGAAAGGAAAAAAAAATCTAAGTCGCCTCTACAGGTCTCATTTCTGATATTGGTCATAAGACCTTAGTTGGC